AAAGAGGTGGCATGTGGTTTGATTCAAGCAGTGATTAATGCCTCTTTCCAGAAGAGGGTAGCACCTCCTACCCTGAAGGACGCAGTGGTGCATCCCCCTTTTCAAGATGCTCTCCTTCGACCCAATAGTATTAGGCAACATTTATGTAGTCTCCAGTCTTCCCTTTTTAGGGAAGATTGTTGAGAAAGTGGTTGGTGCCCAGCTGCAAAGAACCCTGGATGAAACCAATTACCCGGACTCTTTTAGGTCTGGATTCAGATCAAAGCACAGCATTGAAATGGCATTGATGACACTTGGAGGGCTTGGGATGGGGTGATGAAACCAGTCTGGCCTTCCTGGTCCTCTCAGAGGGTTTTGATACTATTGACCTTGGTATCCTTTGAGACCGGCTTCAGAGGTTGGGAGTTGGAGGCACTGGGATATGATGGTTCTCCTCCTACTTCTGTAATTGGTTCCAGTTGGTGTTGGTACGAAAAGAGAGATTGAGCTCTAGGATCCTACAATGTGGAATGCTCCAGGGCTTGAACCTTTCACATCTCTTTTTTTAAAATCTACATGAAACACTGAGGGAGGTCATCCATCAGTATGAGGTTTAGTATCATCACTATGTCAATAACACCTAATTATATTTAACGTGACATGAAAGAAGGGACATGAAAGAAGACCCCAACTGGGCGTCCCCCTTGGCAATGGTGATACTTTTCAATCCTTTAAACCCAGAAGTGCTTCAATGCTCCTGACATGACTGTAGTAGTACCTAATTTCACATCCCTTGCACCTATCCAGACAGGTGATGCTGTGGCAGTGCTGGTTTTGACTCAACCCTGGCAAGATGGAGTGGCTCTAAATTTTGCCCACACCCCAGGCCCAAATGATATTTTCTTTTGACTCTAGGTGGGGAGGCAGTCTCCCAGACTGAGTTGGTCCCCAAATTCAAGGTCCTCCTAGATTCATGGCTCCTGCTTGAGGAGCAGGTGGTGGCTGTACTTGGGGAGGGGTGGGGTGGGGGCTTTACATAGATTCATCTGGTACACCAATTGCACCATTTCTTGGACTGAGAAGCCGGGCTCATGATCATTCATGTCTTGGTAGTTCCCATTGGATTATTGCAATGTGCTCTACATGGGGCTGCCCTTCGAGACCGTTCAGAAGCTACAACTGATAAAGAATGCCACAGCATGCGCAGTGATGGGTGTCTCTAGATTACGCATTTAATACTTCAGTTACATGAGCTGCACTGGCTTCCGGTTTCTTCTGGGGGCAATTCAAGGTGATGGTTATTACCTTTAAGATCCAATATGGCACAGCACCAGGTTATCTGTGGAATTGCCTTTCTCTAAAAACATCTACTGGTCCACATTAGATAGGTGGGTCTTTTCCTAGGCCAAGGGTTGGCAACCTTAAACGCTCAAAGAGTCACAAAGGTCCTAACAGGAAGCCCTCCATTCAATTCTGGAGCTGACCGAAAGTCCAGTTCCCCCACCAGAGTGTCTCCTCCTAGTGCGGCACCCTTTTTCCTCTACCTATCAATTGTGGAGCTGACCAGAAAACCCACCCCTTGCCATAGAGTCTCTTCCTGGTCCACCATGCTTTTCCTCCCCATAACCAGAAGCTCCTCTCAAAATTGTGGTGGCGACAGGGAGCTGCAGCAGAGGGATGAAAGAGCCACATGCGGCTCCAGAGCCATAGGTTGCTCACCTCCTTCCTAGTCCCTTCCTTTAAACATTGCCATCTTATTGGAAGGAGCCAGGAAGTATGGCTTTTCCATGGCAGCCCCTGCCCTATAGAAAAAATTCTTAGCCCAAAGGTTCAAACCTCCTATCTTTTAAAAATCACTGAAGATCTGTCTTTTCCAAGCCCTAGCACTGAGATAGGATGTGATGGCTCAACATGTGCTGCATGTTGAACCTTTGACATGGCAACAGGTTTTTATTTTTAATGTTTATGGTTTTAATAGTTTTCACATGGCTTTTAATGTTGTTTTAATTCTTGATTGGGAGCCATTCAGAGTTCTGTATAAGATGGACAGCTGAATAATGTTTTAAATAAATAAATAAAATGTTCCTCACTTATAGTAATAATTATTTGAATATTAGTTTATTTATGTTAGATCCATTTCAAGCATACCAGTTATTCATTTTTTTAACATCATATTTTAACTATCTTGGGACTGGAGACAAAAGCAAATTGGTTAAGTTCGTGTATTGCTTTAATTTATTGGAACATAGTTTATGATGATGTGAGAATTCAGACAATTGTGGCTTATTTAATCAATTATAGTAAACTATGGCTTAACCTAAATGAGAATTCAGGAAATTAGGTCTCACATTGCATCTTACAAAGAAATGCATTCTTGTCCGAGGGTGCAGCTTGTAGTGCTTTAGAAGGCTGTTGAATATATTGTTTTAGAGAAAGTATTTAAATCTTTCAATACTGGCCAGAATCATATGAATACAGTACCAATCAGGGTGGGTTCTATTTACCTTTACTATTGGTTCGTAATGGGACTGCACGCGTGATCTCGCATTGCTCTCGCGCACGCTCTTCTGCACATGCACAGAAACTTCCTGATGACATCTGGGTTGGTGGGCGGAGCCTCCTGACAATTTTACTACCGGTTCTTCCGAACCAGTCCAAACCGGGGGCAACCCACCACTGTTACCGATGACTACAAATGTACAGTAGACTATGATCCAAGTTCACAATGGCTCATATTCCATGGTGTTCTTCCACAATTAGAAAGTCCATTAATGTACTGATGAATCAAATTTATTTCTACATCTACTTTAGATGCCTGGAGACTTTCTAGAGATTTGACATTCAGGGAATTAATCTCCTATTGTACAAAAACTAGGAATCGGTATATTCAGGGAGACAGTTGAGCATACAAGAACATACTGTAAGTAACATATGGAGCTGTTTTGAATTGAATTAACTTTGTCCATGGAACCTTGTATGGTCTATAGGACTCTGACCAGCAGCAGCTTTCCATAATCTCCAACAAAAATCTTTCCATTGGGGTTCTGGAAAATACAATGAGAGAGACTAAACATTGTGCTCAGCCCCACATCTGTCAATTTATTTAGTAGCAAGTGGCAAAGGAACCATGTCTGGAAACAGAATGTGTGAATTTATTTGAGGTCAGATGAAAATAGGGGCAACAGTGTCCTTTCACTTTTGGTAGCCTTTTTCCAACTGTTGCATTATTTTGTTGGTTTAAGATAGTCTTGTTGGCGTTTGTAATTCTTTGTTTCTCCTTTAAAGGTTAATAAAAGCAACTATTCTTTTATTAGGAATTGATATAGTCGGTTTAGCTTCAAAATAATTGCATTTAATTTAGGCTTAATTCTTCCTTTCCTCTCAAACGCAAAGTGCAAGTGAGAATTCTAAAATGATACTATCAATAAGTGCTGATCAAATTCATGCAGTCCTATGTTCAATCACCCATCATGACACTAGGTGTGAAGTGACTGATTATTATCATTTTTGCTGACAAAATAGAACGTCCTTTCTGATGCAAGACTCAGAGGCCTTTTGGTCTTCTCTACTCGGTGAGATGACCAAAAGTTCTCAGAGTCTTGCATGAGGTGCTCTGTTAAATGAACCCAATACATAGTTTTGGAGAAAAATAAAGAATCCAACCTGACAATGGGGTGAGATGATGTGCTTTCAACCTACTTGGTTTGCATACAATTGTAAGGTGTGCTTTTGTGAAAGAGAGACAGAGAAAAATAATTATGACACAGCAGATGTGATACAGAGATCCACACATGCATCAAAAGCCAGTCTTACTGGGCAATTCATTTCCCCATCCTCTCTCTGTCATGTCCAGTAACATCAGAAAAGTAGAATTAAGTTACATTCCCTGCTAAATTAACTCTAATACAAATATAGCAAAAGACTTAAGCCTGTCTCCCTTAGGAACTGAGGCAAGATTAAGACATTGTCAAGGGAGTACAGTTATTGCCAGAACATGTTCGTGCTAAGATTATTTATTTTATTTATTTATTATTTCAATTTGTATACCGCCCTACTCCCGAAGGACTCAGGGCGGTGAACAGCCATAGAATAAAACATATAAATACAAAATTTAAAATAAAGTAAAACTAATTAAATAATTTGGCTGAAAATTTAAAACCCCAATAATTTAAAACCAAATTTAAAATTTCCATTTAAAAAGGGGGGAAAAAAACTTAGGTCAGGCCAGCTTGATGAAATAAGAACATCTTGAGCGCGCGACGGAAGGTACGCAGATCCGGGATCCTCCGTATCTCCGGGGGGAGCTCGTTCCAGATAGTAGGTGCCCCCACAGAGAAGGCTCTCCCCCTGGGGGCCGCCAGTCGACATTGTTTGGCCGATGGCACCCGGAGGAGCCCCTCTCTATGGGAGCGTACTGGTTGGTGGGAGGCTATTGGTGGTAGCAGGCGGTCCCGTAAATAACCAGGTCCTAAGCCATGGAGCGCTCTAAAGGTGATAACCAAGACCTTGAAGTGCACTCGGAAGACCACCGGGAGCCAGTGCAGCTCGCGCAGGAGAGGTGTTACATGGGAGCGCCACGTCGCTCCCATTACCACCCGCGCGGCCACACTCTGCGCCAGTTGGAGCCTCCGAGTGCTCCTCAAGGGGAGCCCCATGTAGAGAGCGTTACAGTAGTCCAGACGGGAGGTGACGAGGGCATGAGTGACCGCGCGTAGGGAGTCCCGATCTAGAAAGGGACGCAATTGGCGGATCAGGCGAACCTGATGAAAAATCCTCCCAGCCGTGAATCCAGGAGGACACCCAAGTTGCGAGCCCTTTCCGTGGGGGCCAATGATTCGCCCCCAATAGTCAGCGATGGCACCAGCTGACTATATCGGGACGTCGGAAACCACAGCCACTCGGTCTTGGATGGGTTGAGTCTGAGGCTGTTTCTCCCCATCCAGATCCATATGGCCTCCAGGCACCGGGACATCACTTCAAGGGCATCGTTAAATGTAAATAAAGACAATAGAGAGAAAATATGAGGTACAAGAAAGGCAATTATCCAAATATAATTCAAGAATTCTGTCATTCTCTTCAAGTTATCAGGAAACATTCACTTCCTAGAACCTATCAAGATTCTTACTCAATAAAGTGCTGCTTTGGAGAAATCGTTATCTTTCTTTTTCTTTACCATAAATGGAGGTAGGACAGATATTTGATCCCAAATCAATGTCACCATCATGAACTGCATCATATACATTGTTATAGTGTGAAGCTTGGTTAGGTTTTGGTATCTCAAAGGGCTCTATCCTCTGTGGCCTCTCACAGTGGGTGCCAGCCCATTTTGGATAGCATTGACACTGAAAATGATCTTGCATTGACACATTTTGGTCTTGAAAATCTGTTATCCCAAAGTCCCCTTCCTGTAGCTGATGGTCCAGATGGAGAAAGGCTCCTAATTCACTCAGGTCACATCTCACACAACGTCCATTCCCATGACATAGCTGGCGACTACATCTGTTTGCTGCTGTAGTCACATTAGCGATGTAAGGTCCCAGTGTGGTGGTGATATAATGGTGAAGACTCTTGCAGCTCTCCTGGAGAACATTAAGATCAGAATTAGGATTTGGATTTTGAAGAACTCAAAAAGCAGCAGGGTGGATCAGGCCAAGAGAACCATCCATTCCAGCATTCTGTTACTAGAGGGACAAATCAGGGACTTCTACTCATAAGCAGAATATGGATCACATTAGTATTTTCCACGCCTGGTTCTCAGCAATTAGCATGGCAAAGGTACACTGCCATCAATACTGGAAGGCAGTACATAGATTAATACTGTTTGATAGTCTTTTCTTCCATGAATTTGATTTAAAAACATCCAGCTTTGCAGTAAACATTATATATTGCAGTAGAAAATTCCATATTTTGATTTATGTGATATATAAAATATTGCCTCAACCTCCTATAATTTTTGTTTGATCATTGTGTGTTCTAATACTGTGATAGAAGAAGGCAATGTTTCCCTTTTTTTTCTCTAAACACAAATTGGCTTTATTATTTTATTTATTATTTTTATTTATTTATTAAATTTATATTGCCGCCTATTTGCCCATGGCGACTCAAGGCGGCTTCAGAATATAAAACCACATTTAAAACAATAAAACTAATAAAAAGAATCAAATAAATTAATATAGTATAATAAAATCATAATAAAATCACCCCCCACCCCAGCGACAGCCGGTCACACGAGCCATTTAATGGGCTTCATCCCAGTCTGGGTTCCCCAGGCCCGCTGGCAGAACCAGGTCTTCAGCACCTTCCAGAAGAGAATTAGAGTGAGGGCCATTTTAATCTCTGGGAGAATGAGAGGGAGCCACCACAGAGAAGGCCCTTCTTCTGGGTCCCACCAGGTGTATCTCCCTCGGGGATGGGACCCGCAGCATTCCCTGCCTCCCCGCTCCGATGGGTTGGGTAGATGTGACCGGTAAGAGACAGTCCCTCAGATAACCTGGTCCCCAGCATGAAGGGCTTTAAAGGTGACAACCAGCACCTTGAATTGCACCCGGAAGCAAATCGGCAACCAATGCAGCTCCCACAGGAGAGGTGATACATGTGCACACCAGGGTCTGCACAAAACCATGTGGGCCGCTGCATTTGCACCAACTGGAGCATCCGGATACTCTTCAAGGCAGCCCCATGTAGCACACGTTGCAATAGTCAAGACAGAAGTGACTAAGGCATGAGTGACTGTGAGTAGGAACTGTTGGTCCAGGAAAGGGTGTAACTGGCACACAACTCATTGTTGCACAAAGGCCCTCCTGGCCGCGACCATCACCTGCTCTTCGAGCAAGAGTTGTGAGCCCAGAAGAACCCCCGGATTACGCATAGGGTCTGTTTGGGGTAGTGCCACCCCATCTAAGATGGCAATTCTCCCTGAGCCAACGAACCCCAAACCCAGAGCCACTCAGTCTTGCCAGGGTTTAGTTTCAACCCGTTGCTCCTCATCCAACCCCTAACAGCCTCCAGGAACTGCGAGAGGGAGGACATGGTATCACTTAACTCACCACGGGCTGAGACATATAGCTGAGTATCATCAGCATATTGGTAATACTTCAGTCCATGATAACGGATGATCTCACCCAGCGGCTTCATATAAATGTTGAACAGAAATGGAGAGAGTACCAAGCCCTGCGGAACCCCGCAAAGCAGTGGGCAAGGGCTGGATCTCTCCCCTCCTATCAACACTGACTGAGAGCAGCCACAGAAGAAGGAAGTGAACTAGGATAGCATAAGGCCTCCCACTCCCATCCCCCGAAGCGCTCCAGGAGAATACCATGGTCGATGGTATTGAAATTTACTGAGAGGTCAAGTACAGCAAGGATGGATAAATAAAAAAAAATAAAAATAAAAAATAATTTTATTTCTATACCGCCCTTCTCCTGAAGGACTCAGGGCAGTGTACAGCCTATTAAAAACACAAAGACAAACATCAGTTAAAAATAATTAAAATTATTACATAATTCAGCTGAAATTTAAAATCCCCAAAATTTAAAACCCAATTTAAAAATCATTAAATTGATAGCCCGGTTTGGCGGAACAGCAGGGTCTTGAGGGCACAGCGAAATACACAGAGGTTGGAGATCTTGCACATTTCTGGGGGCAGTTCATTCCACAGGGCAGGATGCACTACCCCCATTCCGCTCCCACCAGAGATCATCCAAAAGTGCCATTTGTGTCCCAAATCCAGGCCTGAATCATGACTGGTAGGGGTTGAGATAATCCATTTCATCCAGAAACCTCTGGAGCTGCCCTGCAACTATCTTCTCGACAACCTTCCCCAAAAAGGGAAGATTGGAGACAGGTCAGAAATTATCCAACTGGGTGGAGTCCAGCAATGGAAGAGGGCAGACCGCAGCCTCCTTAAAGTGCTGGGGCACTGTCCACTCCTGTAGGGAAGCATTAATCACCTCCAGAGTCCACCTGCCTGTCACCTCCTGGGAAGCTTTCACAAGCCATGGGTCTAATCCACAAATGCTTGCGCACATACTCCCTAGGATTTTGTCCACTTCCTCGGGAGCAACAGGGTCAAACTATTCCCAGATAGCAGGGCAAGAACCTGCTTCAGGGGCTTCCACTGGACCAGCAACCACGCTGGCATCTAACTGGGAATGAAGTTGAGTGATTTTGTCTTCCAGAAAATTTATATATTTTATTAGGTCCGCTCAAGCTGAAAATGTTACAGGTTTTGGCCTATTGGCACAAATAGATGAACAATGTCTTCTAAGAAGACCCAACCATAAAAGAATTATAGAGAATTAGTGAAATCTCACTATTAGGAAAACATATTACTTCATGAATCTACAGTATCTTGCCTAAACCAGAGTTTAAAGGTGGATAGAATCTCCCCAACAGTTGCTAGGAATGCCATTGGTGCAGAGGAAGTGATATGGACCTGTGCTCAAGTTTCACCTTCACAGTACGGAGCATACAAATGTTTCAGAAATACTCACAAGTGACCGGGAGTAGGAGAGGTCGCCCCAGAGTACAACCCCAGCACTGCCAACTGCTGCACTTTCTCCAATTGTATTTATCAAGTCAGCCTGAATCAAACAAAAGAAAGAAGAGAAAATGTAAGGACCTGTCCCAGCTGGTCCCTCAGGAAAGCAAAACTCTTGATTCCATTAAGTTGAATCAAAGGAACTTTTACTGAGAGAAAGTGGTTGCAGTAAAGTCAGGCAGAATCTGAAAAACCCCCACAGAGCACAAAGCAATTCTCCTGGTTCCCCAAACCCAACCCCCCTGACCAGTCCACCAGCAGCCAATGTGATGCCGCAAGGTTATTTTGAGAACGCTGAGGTGCTAGGCAGATAACAGTGTAGTCTCAGGGCACGACGGCCTTGGAACCAGGCTGGAACCGGCTGGAAAGCAGTCTGCTCCATCTCTGAAGACAATCCCCCTCCCTAATTCCCAAGCAGTTACAGCAAAAGCAAAAGTATGTGGAAAATGCCAGCAAGCCTTCCTTCCCTGCCCCCCTTTCAACAGAATGGCAGGACATGATAGTGGATAGTGCAGGGGTGAAATGCTCCTGGTTCGGATCCGATCACCCGATCTGGTAGCGATGGAGGCGGGTGGTTCAGAGAACCAGTAGCAAAAACCCCCATTGCCCAGCTGAGGCTTTTTTTTTTTATTTTTAAAACCATTTTTTCTACAACCTCTTTGGCTTTAAAAATGCTTTTAAAAGTAAAAAAAAAAGCCTCTGATGATCGCACGGCTCAGCTGGGATCATCAGAGGCTTTAAAAAGCATTTTTTCTACAACCTCTTCGGTCGAAGAGGTTATAGAAAAAAAGTTTTTAAAAGGAAAAAAAGCCTCTGCCGATCAGGCAAGTCAGCTGGGATCGTCAGAGGCTTTAAAAGCATTTTTTTTACAACCCCTTCAGCGGAAGAGGTGGTAGAAAAAATGGTTTTAAAAGTAAAAAAAAAAAAGTTGGCCACGCCCACTCAGTCATATTACCCCCCCACCAAGCCACACCCAGAGAACCAGTAGTAATAAATTTTACATTTCACCACTGGGATAGTGAATAACTCTGTATGAGATGTCTATGGAGATTCTCAGTCATCCAGGTCATGATTGTCCCAAATGTGTTTTTTCAAGAGGCAACTGGACTTTCTGGTTTTTCTTTGAAAACATTTCACTCCTTGGATGAAAAGCGAAACAACTTCAAAGAAAAAACAAAGACCAGTTGCCTCTTGAGAAAGCACCTTTGGGACTCTGATGAGAGATTCACATTATAATTTTAGTGATATAAAGTCTCTATTAAGCTGGTTTTAATGGAGCTTAAAGGTCTATTTTCAGAGACCTAGAGGTATAGCGTAATCTTTTTCCTTATAGATACCCCAAATCAGTACTTATGAGTTAGAAGAGTAATGAGATGAACTGGGCTTCAGCTACCATAATTGGGTATTGGAGTCTAAAATAGCTGGAGGATCACCAGCTTGGGATAAGTCATATAGCCAGCCAGAGACTTTATTATTCACAAGAGACACTTATGTTCTATTGAATTCACTGGTCAAACAAATCTTGCATGTGTCCTCATGGCTGAAGAGCCCAACAGATTTGTTTGACTATTGCACCAAAGACCAAGTGAATACCTATAATCCAAGCAATAATCATTTTTTAGTTCTGTGTACACATTTTTGGAACACCGAAAGAAATTAAACTACCCAGTAATACTTTACATTACAGTAATGGTATGGAAAAATATTTTCTGTAAAAATTTCCCAACTCCTATTTTCCATTATGCATAGTATTATTTATATGAGATTTTTTTTCAATGCAAACTGAACATTTTCCATAGAATTGTTTTCTTTTAAAAAATTCCAATTCAAAATGTTCAGGAAAATCTACAACACTGAATAGCCCTATAGTCAGAATAAAAATCTAACAAGAGCAAACTCCTTTTGCTTAATTACTCAGTTTAGCCTGTTTGAAAAAGATGCAATTTGTCTCTACAGCTGTTGTTAATAAGTAGCTTTTTTCTTTCTATTAAAACAATAATCTGCAAAATTAATGAATGGACCTTACTTACTGCAGTTCCATTTTTAAACATAGTATTTTTACTGCAGTTGATGACTCAAGACTGAAATACTGTTTACTGAATGGCCATGAAGCAGGAAATTTCTCCCACATTTAATCTACTCCAAGAATAATTGGAAGAATGCAGTACAGGGCTGACAGTAGACTGTGTGGATGGGGAAACCATATATGTCATTCAGAACTACTATGGAAAAAAAGTGAGATAAATATAACGAAGGAATCATGTACCATAGAAGTGAATACAGCTCAAAAAATGTTTTCCAGCCAAATAATAATGTAACTATGATTTGCAAACCCTGGATCTATCATTACCCCCTACTCTGAGCACCCCAGAGTGCTTACCTCAGTCAGATACTTTGAAGAACGCCTGTAGGAAACCCTGGAATATGGTAACACAGGAAGGGGATGCTCTGTGCCAAACTGTGCCACACGGAATGCCTCACCAAGACGGTGATGTACATAATGCTGGCGGTACAAAACTGGTACTTTCAGTGGAAGGTAGATACTGGGATAGAGGGCTGAGGAGATCTTCCACAACCACATGAGCTGATCATTCCACAGGACCTCCTTCGGATTACATTGGCCAGTATAGTTCTCCACTTTCCCCCATTTGTCATTGAAGCAATCAGGAAACCTATAGAAGCCCCAGAAACCATGTGGCCTCAGCTTCTTTCCCAGAGCTAGAGTAGTCTCCATCAGCACCCGTGCGGCCTTTTCAAACTCTACCTGAGCTAAGTGAGTTTGCTCCTCAGGAGAGAGTCCATGAAATCTTTTCCTCACCCATTGTTTAGAGGCCTCCCTATAAGCCATTTTGGGCCCCCAGTTTCTTCTCCAGAGAGGTCGCCACTCTTCCCAGTCTACTACTGCCAGACCTTGGAAGTTATTGTTCAAGAGTTCTGTGATTTCCTTAGCGGCTTTCTCTAGATGTCTCTTCAGTTTAACCTTCTGAGGGATCCCCCCATTATGCCAGTCACCCTGTGGAGATATGTAGGGATATAGTCCAAACTTGTTTTTGTAAAAAATAGTCATATTTTGTCCACGGAACACATTGCCTTTGTTCTCCACAATGCCATAGACTTCCAGAGGTAATCTGATCCCAAAATGCTCTTGACATCTGATTGTGGGTAAATTCCACACCACAACAAATGGTTTATGCTGGATGATGGGACTGGCAGCTGCCTGCTTCCAGCTATTCCCTGCCAGGGGTCTAACAGACGCAGTACAGAAGGTGATGCAGATCCAGATAATTCTCTCCAGGATCATGGTGGATGGAATAAGCTAGTATCTATTCTGGAACTCCTCAAGCTTTGTTCATAAATGTATCCCCTGACAAAGAGAAAGGGAGTGATGGATTAAATAAAATCTGTCTGCCTCTTATTTACTTCTAACTCAATAGCATATAATACACAGAAAATTAAAAAATAAATTGACTTAATTAAAGTTAAACCACTAGCTACAGAGAACCTTGTAATCATAGCAGTTAAAATGTCAGATTAGAATTGGGGACACCCAGGTTTGCCTCCTCCCTCAGAATAACCAATGAGTTGTACTATGGACAGCGGGACAGCTTTAAGGTCATACTATTCATGAATCACTGTCCTGACTTCAGGATAGTCATTATTTCTCAAATTGTCACCTTCTCACAATGGTGTAGGGATGGGCGGAGAGACCCATAATCTATTCATTGTGGAAAACTAGAACAGAAATATAATCAATCAATTCATTCATTTAATCAAATTATCTGACACATTCATTGTACAAGCTGAATTTTAAACTGAGAATCCGGCTTCATAAGAGAAATGCTTTGTTTATTACAGAGTAGGAAGTATGAAGCTTCTGGCCTCAGGTTCTCTTGTTCAGATTTGTGAGGATTGCTTGCTGTTTTTCTAAAAGCCTGCTAGTGAAGAGGGAAAGAAAGGGTGTCAGGATTAAAACAGATGCCAAAAGAGCAAAAGAAAGCATCACCTCTAGATCAGGGGTGTCAAACTCGATTTCATTGAGGGCGGCATCAGGGTTGTGTTTGACTTTGAGGGGCCCACGGGGGGCGTGGTTGGGATGGGTGTGGCCAGCTCAACATCACTTGTGTCAGGTGCGCCTATGGTGGCCCGAGTGCTCCGCCAGCAAAAATGGGCTCCCAAGCTGTTTTCACTGGCAGAGGATTGCAGGAGGCTGTTGCAGCCAAAAACTGAGCTCAGGAGCCCGTTTTTGCTGGCAGAGGCATCGCGGGTTGGTCCTTCACTGTTTCCAGGATGGGCCTATGGGCCAGATCTAAACACCCAGCGGGCCAGATCCAGCCCCCGGGCCTTGAGTTTGACACCCCTGCTGTAGATCATCAGGAATCAAGTTGCCTTACAGAATTACTACTATTAGATCAGCTTTATAAACATCTGTGATCTTAAGAGATAGTTCACTTGTTAGGCCCATGGCTTGCAAAATATCATTCTATGACAACTAGGAAACAGTCTTCCTTGTGGTGGGCATGTCCTGTGTGGATCAATCATCTTCCTTTTGCAACAAACCAAGTCTTACAGTAGGTATGCGTTAGGTAAATTTAAAAATATATCTTTTCCATTGAGCTTTCCCAATCCACTATTCGTCTCAACCAACCAATCAATCTTTATTCAGTCATAGATCATAGCAAATAAAACAGAAAAATCACAATTAGAATAAAGAGGGAAATATATTCCTGCCGAACACCTGCCTAGAGGAGACATTACAGAATAATATATTCTACCATTTAAGTGATGCCTCTCCTTTTAGTAATGGCTGTTGGGAGGGCATTGAATCTGGCCAAGAATAAATCCCTTCTAAATTTTGGGATCATTATGCAACTAAGATATCTAGCTAATTGGAAAAAGTGTACCTCAAAAAGGTGCTTCTGGGTACCACAGGAAAGTCCGCTTGCAGCTCTAAATCAATGGCCTGCTGTTTGAGATGTTCATAATCCATCTTAGTGATGGTTGGCTATAAAGTTGTACTTTGGCATATATCGCCCTGGTACCAGGAAAACTCAAGTTATCAAATCATAATTAAAGGAGCCAAACTAGCTGGGGAAAAAAGGAGAGCTAAAGCCAACAGGAGAAAATGAAAATCCAGGCAATAGTTTATATTTTAAATAGGCCAGTTTCACAGTGGAGGCCCATGTTTGAAATGCATTGAGGTGCACCTGTCTCTAATATTTGTCTTTTTAAGTGATGCTTTTCATGTTTTATAGCTGCTATAAATAACTTAAGGACATTGATTATGATAAGTGGCCTTCAAATCATAAAAAGGATAAAATAAATAGGCTTTGGCATGTGGTTCCTAAGGAAACGCATAGGGGAGGAGGGACAAAGCAAAATTCTCCACAGCTTGACTGAGCACATCCAGACAGGTGAAGGAACTCCTCAGGAGATAAATCCAAGGACTAAATTTTTAAGGTGGAAATGGTGAGAATATTTAGTGGGAACTGCCAGGCAAAGGCTGTTGTTAACTAGGTGACCTAAAATTAAATTCTGACGAGTAAAACATGTTTGGATCAACACAGAAAATGCTGGGAGGAATGACTCTATGGCAGTTATGCATCTTCCCAACCAAGATGTGCAAGTTCCTGTCTGGGCAGCTTCCACTTGGTGGTTTGGATTGTTTGCTTTGTTAATACCTAGTTGAAGAAACTGCAGACCAACCTCTTTCTACAATTTTAAAAACCTAGTTTGCATTGATGAGGCTTTTGACTTCTCCCACATTGAAAGAAACCAAGATAAGGTAAAATGCAATTTTCTCATTTTGCTGTCAAATAGATGTCAACTCTCATAAACCTCAGCCAGGAAAATTATGGGAACTGATCCCCTGCCCCCCACCTTCACTTGGAAGGCACTATATTAGGGCAGGCTAGACCAGAGCATTTCTTCCAATCCAAACTTTTTGATTCAACTAAACTGGTTACAAATAAAAACTACAAACTTCCCATGTAGTTGATAAGTCAACATCAAACTCTTTTCCACACTTGTACCCTGACAGAAGCAGCAGGCTTGAAATCCAAACTTCATTGCAAACCCAAAAAATTAATTCTCTATACAATATTTTGCTCACACTTTGGGGTCTACATTAGTAACATGATCATCATGGGAATACTCCAACAGTCACCTCACCATTTTACAATATTTCCTGTTAGCAGTAAGGCAATAAGTCTTTTCTCCTAGCTGCTATTTCACAAGTTGTGCAATGCAACCTCCAAGCCTATAATTCTATAATATTTGTCAATAATGTTCCTGCTTCTGTTTGTTGCTTTTGTTTGATCTGTGTTTTTGTATGAGAAATATGCTAATGGAGATTATTTTAGTAAAATACAGTATACTCTTATTTAATATCTATCCATGCTTCTGTGTGTGAAAGTGAACAGAAAGAGAGCAGCTTTTATCTTGGAGAAGGTAGAAATAGCTCAAGGAATGTACTTGAAGACCAGAAACAGAATAGCATTGTGCTTTGAATAATAGGACACTTGAAAAGACCTCTTTGATGTGCCATATTCATAGCTGAAATGAGAGGCATTGAATGTAAATTTGCTTAGGATAAATTATCTTTGAGAACCAGCTTGATAAAGTGGTTAAAAGCACCAGGCATGAAACGGGGAGACTGAGAATTAATTCTAGCCCAGGACTAACTGGGTGACCTTGGGCCAGCCATTCTCTCTGCCCTAGCAAAGCAAGGACCAACCCTTTCCAAAAACCTAGCCAATAAATCTTAGAGGCTTGTCCAAGAGTCAGGATAAATTCAAAGCCACCAAATACAAAACTTTATATTTTGAAAAGCACTAATTGGAAATAATTTGGGATTCAGTATTCAGTAATGAGGAGGGCAATATTTTGTAAAAGCCTACAAGAATGCTCCTTTCAATCCCTGTGTAGTGCCAATGCAAAAGACCCATCCTAATCCATCCAATGACTTCTGTCCTTTTTTCTCTCCCCCTTCCAATAAATGAATGCAAGCACCACATTTGGAGTTGAAGTTAAGCCAACTTATTTATTTATTTTATTTATTTTATTATATTTCTATACCGCCCTTCTCCTGTGGGACTCAGGGCGGTGTACAGCCAGGATAAAATTTAAAAACATTTTAAAAAACAATTAAATAATTTTGGCCCGAATTTAAAACAACCCAATTAAAACCGAATTTCGATTAAAAAACTGAGAGGATGGGATCAAGCCAGCCCAGCTAGATGGAACAAGTGTGTCTTCAGGGCCCGACGAAAAGTCCAGAGGTCTGATATCATGCGTATCTCAGGGGGCAGGTCATTCCAGAGGGCAGGTGCTGCCACAGAGTTATGTTGCCACAGGTGGGGCAGTTTAATATTTGAGCCACTAGCCCCCAGACTTATTTGCTGGGCCAACCAGAAATATAATTCTGGCCACTATCACATTGCTTAGGACATTTTCTTCTTCAAAAGGGCAATGTGATTGAATCACACATTAGTCGCCAATTAAAGGTAAAGGTTCCCCTCGCACATATGTGCTAGTTGTTCCCAACTCTAGGGGACGGTGCTCATCTCCGTTTCAAAGCCAAAGAGCCAGCGCTGTCCGAAGACGTCTCCATGGTCATGTGGCCGGCATGACTAAACGCCAAAGGCGCACGGAACGCTGTTACCTTCCAACCAAAGGGGGTCCCTATTTTTCTACTTGAATTTCCTACGTGCTTTCGAACTGCTAGGTTGGCAGAAGCTGGGACAAGTAACGGGCGCTCACCCCGTTACACAGTGCTAGGGATTTGAACCGCTGACCTTTCGATCGACAAGCTAACCATCTTAGCCACTGCATCCCCATAGTTGCTAATTATATTTTGCCAAATATCAGGGCAGTGATCAGGTGCCCAGGCAATTGGTGTGTTTTGTTTTATTTATTTATTTATTTATTTTTAAATTTGTATACCGCCCTTCTCCCTGAGGACTCAGGGCGGTGAACAGCCAAATAAAAACATCAAATACAAATATTAAAATACAGTTAAAAATATATATATAAATTTGGCCCCATTAATTAAAACAATAAACCAAACAATTAAAAAACATGTAAAAAGAATTAGGCCAGCCCGGCTTGTTGGAAAAGGAAGGTTTTAAGGGCACGGCGGAAGGCACTGAGGTCATGGATTCTCCTTATCTCAGGGGGCAACTGATTCCAGAGGGTGGGAGCCCCCACAGAGAAGGCCCTCCCCCTGGGGGTCACCAGCCTGCATTGTTTGGCTGATGGCACCCCGAGGAGGCCCTCTCTGTGGGAGCGCACGGGTCGATGGGAGGTCGTCGGTGGCAGCAGGCGGTCTCGGAGATAGCTAGGCCCTATGCCATGGAGCGCTTTAAA